CAGATTTCATCGGGTAATTTTTATTTTTCCATATTACCTGGGAAAATGAACTTACCCTTTAATGCACATTATGTGTGTGTAAGAGAATTCTGGCTCTCACCATGGAATGGCAGCTGCAATCTCAAAGCACATGCAGAATGTCCTACGCATGCATCTATTTGCATGCAGATGGCGGGGGCAGCAGGGTTTCATTTTTTTATTTTTAACTTTTTTTATTTTTTTAAATCTTTATATATTTTTTTTAATAACTTTTAAAATTTTCTTTAACTTTTTATTTACTTTTTTCCCTTAATGTGCTTCCTATTACATAGGAGATTAAAATCCCTTATGTGATAGTTTGGAGGTGACATGTTCTCTTTATGGAACCTGCCCTCCAACACAGAAAAGCTGTTCTGTGTAGTTCCTGACAGCCGAGACAGGTGGCGCTGTGATTACAGCGCCACGGTCTCAGAGAACACACAGAGAGCCCGTAGAGCAGACGTTTTTCGTCTGCTCTATGGGCTCTATGGCTGAGCCGTTGTGCCTTAGTTTTCGGGGTCCCCCGGGAGAGCGGGCAACCCCGAAAACTACGGCAGGGGGTGCGGGCAGAAACGATCGCCGCTGCTCAAATTAATACAAGTGGTCTGATCAGACCACTTGTATTAAACGAGCGGCGGCGGCTCCACAATGTACATTCAGCTCTGCTTGTCCGGAGCCGGGCTGAATGTACTTTAAAACTACTCGTCCGGCGCCGGAAACTGCATGTCCCGGGCATCGGGCGATAGGAATTCCACACCCCTGGATGGGGATGTTGGACCCAGGATGGGGTACCAGGGATGGTGGACATAGGAAGGGTTACCCGAGGATGGAGATGGGGGATGTTGGTTTAGATGTGTGGTCAGTGTATTCCTACAATCGTCAGCACTAAGTTCAAGGTCTAGAAAGACCAGACTCAATAATATGAGTGAACTGGATGCCGAAAGTGTTTTGGCCACGATTAGTGATAAATACTTTTTGTTCCCATCCCAAATGAACAAAATGTCGTTAGTATAATGTGTGTACAATATCAAGTTAGCCCCAAATGGATTGTTGTGCCAAATCTATAACCATGTTTTCTACTTTGTTGTGTGAGCATTCCTGCAAGGACTTTTTCATCTGCCTCATTTGTAATATGAGGCAGATGAAGAGGCCCATGTTTCATACTCGTGTCCATGGTGGAATCTGGAAGTTACAGTGGCATCCGATACGTGAGAAGCTTCTCCTGTCTGCCTGTTTGCACAGCGACTTCAACATTGTGGACCATGACCATCACCAATTTCATAAATCTGCTTATAGCTGTGGTTGTTTATGAACAGAGAGAATGGTTTGTACTTTTATGGAGATCCAAAAGGTGTGTATAGTCTGCATTCTGTGCTGCAAGCTTAATGCATGAAAAAGATGGCGTGTGATTATGTGTGGGTAGTAGTGGACATGGAAATGCTGATGTACGAAAAGAATCGTGCTTTTATGAAGGGTGTGTGAAAGGACAGTAGCAAGGGTGGAAGCCTTGATGTGGCGTTACTGCTCACATGGGGATCCATGTGCTAATTCAACCAACCTGAGTGAGTGTAGTACTTTACTGTCTTTAACCACAAAGAGTGTTCGTTTTTTTGAGCATAAAATGTAATACTATGATTTAGTGTCAGGTTTTTATCAAAGAATAAAAACATTCACATACACCATTTTCAAACGGTTTGCATTTGTTTTACTAACATAAGACATATAATAATATCTTTTTAATCTATAGAGCTAACTGAAAATAATATAGTTTGTGTAGTTGTACACAAAAATGTGTTTGAATGTAAACAGAAAAAAAATTAAAGGAGAACTATGGGGTTAAGTCTTTTCCCCATAGTTCTCCTTAGGGTAACGGGAGGACACAAACTAGCGTCCTCCCGTCACCCTAGGCTCAGTATACAGTATTACCTCCCGATCTACTGAGCCGACCTGTGAC